TCATCTTATTGCAATTACATCAAATGAAAGTCCCAATCCATGGCACATAAGCTTAGGTCATATGAGTGAGAAAAGGATGAAGATCATGCATTCAAAGGATAAACTACTAGGTTTTCAGTCATTAGAAACTGACATGTGTGAAGGCTATATACTTGGAAAGCAAAAACAAGTTAGTTTTCAAACAAGTGGAAGAACCCTAAAAAAAAAAAAAGAAATTCGAGCTTGTTCACTTTGATGTTTGGGGTCCAATGACTATCTCTTCCTTTGGTCGAAAGCAATACTTTATGGAACATAAGTCTGAAGTATTTGATGCTTTCAAGATTTGGAAAACCATGGTAGAAAATGAGACAATATTGAAAATCAAAAGGCTTAGAATTGATAATGATGGTGAATATGAATACACCAAATTTAAGAAGTTTTGCAATGAGCATGAGATCAAAATGGAAAGGATCGTGTCAGGTACGCCTCAACACAATGGTGTAACTGAGCATATGAATCAAACGTTGATTGAAATAGCCAAAAGTTTGTGTTTATAGTCAGGCTAACCAGAGTAGTTATGGGCAGGAGAAGTCAACATAGAAAATTACTTAATCAACTAAGGTCCATTAAAACTATTGGAGCACAAAATACAAGAAAAGGCAAAAATCAAAAAAGAGGTAAGGATAAAAAAAAAGGTAAAACTCTCACATCTTAAAGTTTTTGGTTGTATAACATATGTGCAATTAGTGATCAAGGCAAGAATAAGCTTGATCCTAAATCGAATAAATGCACTTTTATTAATTACGGTGAGGATGAGTTTGGCTACCACATGTGGGATAATGGAAACAAACAAATGATTCACATTAGAGATGTGATCTTTGATGAAAAGGTGATGTACAAGATAGGGACAACACATACACTAGCTACTAAGAACATGATGGGCCAGTGTATGCAGAGGTTGATGATGTCCTATAAACTCCTATGAATGAGACTCTTCAGTTAGAGGAGTCAATTGAAAACAACAATGACAACAACTTGACACACTAGAGCCTTTTACTCTAGCTTTTGTTTTGAGAAAGTCTTCTCAACCTTTTGTTCCTAATAGGAAATACCTGAATTATATATTATTAACTAATGAAGGGGAGCTTGAAAACTACGAGAAAGTATGCCATACTACAAACGTTAGTTAGTGGGAGCTTACCATGAAAAATGAGACGAAGTCTCTAATATCCAATTAAACATGGGAACTAATAGAGTTACCTATTGGGAAAAGGGCACTTTACAATAAATCGGTGTCTTAGGTGAATGAGGGTCATGATGGATTTAAAAGATACAAAGTTCGACTAATTGTCAAAGGATTTCAACAAAAGGAAGGAGTTAACTACACTGAAATCTTTGCTCCAGTTGTGAAGCTCAATACTATCAGGTCTGTCTTAATTATTATTGTTAGTAAAGGACTCTACCTTGAGCAATTAGGTGTCAAGACTACAATTTTACAAGAAGACTTAGATGAGGAGGTTTACATGCATTAATCCAAAGGTTTCTCATAAGAAGGAAAATAGAATATGAGGTGCATATTAAAGAAAAGTTTGTATGGCTTGAAACAAGCTCTAAGATAGTGATGTAGGAAGTTTGAAAGCTTCATGCACAAAGAAAGTTTCTAAAAGTGCAATGTTGACCACTGTTGTTTCTTCAAAAGATATAAGTCTAGTTATATCATTTGCTACTTTATGTCGATGATATGTTAGTAGTTGGTTTAGATATAGACGAGATAAAAAGCTCGAAGTAACAATTACCAAAAGAATTTAACATGAAAGACTTGAGTCCAACAAAAAGGATCCTCAAAATACAAATCCCGAGAGATAAGTAAAGAGGAATTTTGTAGTTATCTCATATTGAGTACATCAATCGTGTTTACAAAGATTTAACATAGGTGATGCCAAGCCAATTGACACACCTTTGGCTAGTCATTTTTGCCTATCTAATGATCAGTCTCCTCAAATGGAGGAAAAATAGTTCGTGGCTAAGATTTTGTATGTTTTAGCCATCGAAAGTTTAATGTATGAAATGGTATGTACAAGGCCAAACATTGGCCATGTAGTAGGAATTGTTAGTAGGTTTATGTTAAATCAGTAAATCTCATTCGGAAGCAGTTAGGTGGATTTTGAGACATCTACAAGACACTACAAAGAAGTGCTTGTACTTTAGTAAAGGAGAAGCCAACAATTAAAAGTACAAAGCTATATAGATCTAGACTTTGGAGGTGAAGTTGATCACTGGAAAAGTACCATTGTTGGTACTACAACTATTAGTTAGATGTCATAAATACATAAAAATTTTGCTCTATTCACTAAAGAGGCTGAGTATGTAGTAGTAACAGAAGCCAATAAGAAATTGATATAGTTTCATGAGTTATTAACTGAGTTGGAGTTCATCTAAGAAAAAAGTATTTTGCATGATGATAGTCAAAATGTGATACATCTAATAAAGAATTCAACAATTCACTATAGTACAAAACTCATTCGTCTTCATTATCACTTCATCAAATCTTGCTTGAGGGTGAGAAACTAACATTGAGAAAGATTTTAGAAATTAAAAACCTAAGAGACATGTTGAGAAAAGTAATAACCATTAAAAAATTAAAATTATACTAAAGTTCAGTTGACCTGTCAAAATAAAAAGACAAAATAAGGTTGTTGGATTGACATGTTGCATTTGAGAAAGTAACTCTCTCTTCTTGTTACCAAACGGGCTTGAAATAAGAAATGAGACAAGAAACTCTCATTTGAGTTGCTCTAATCTCGTTGAAGCTTTCCACGCTCACAACGCTGGGAGCATATATCAGGTCTTCTCTTCCTCCAACAACAAGCCGTGGGTTTCCAATCTTATTTTTCTGTTGTTTTTAACTTTCTTCTATTTTTTTTCTCTTTATGTTGGTTGTACGATGATTTTCTTCATGATTATATTTGCTAAAATCATGGAGTGCGATGACTGGAGAGGATAGTGGTAGAGGTGGGCGCTTTCCGCTTGGATGGTTCTAACAAGATGTTATTGAAACCATTAAATTCACGCAAAAAGGGACTGCAATCATAAAACCACGGAGTGTGGTGACCAGAGAGATCAGTGGTGGAGGTGGTAGCTTTTGGGTTGGGTAGGTTCTGGTAAGAGATTGTAAAGCAACTGCAAAAAGGGATTGTAAATACACATTAATTCACCTTTACTTAATCATTTTGTAGCAGAGACAATGCAAGAAGAGGAAAAAGAAGAGAAAAAAAAGCCCGCAAGATGACCTCCACCTTCCTATCCTATGTTTAAATAAGGGCAAAATTGTAAATTACATACAAACAATCTCAACCATTCAACTAATATAAAATATCCTCCTGCTGATAATCATTTGAACTATATACAACACCTAACAACGTATTTTATTTTGCTACTACATTCATGAACTACTTAGCTTCATGTTACAATTTTTCGAACACCTTATATCTTTTTATTTCTTTTTGTCAAAATTTTCTTAATTTTTTTTAAAAAATATTATTCAAATGCTCTTTTACACAAAATATATATAACAATATATCCAATGTATTGGGGGCATCCTACTTGGATGCAATTGAACTTGGAGACCAATTTAAGTCATCTATGATAGAAGGTTCTATATGAATACTTAAAATAGATTCTTACATTTTTTTTATTAGAATAGGTTCTTAAAATAAGATTTAACAATATCTATTTTTAAAATATTAAGACTTTTGATATTTATTTAGATTCTTACATTTTTTTACCATTCAAATAGGTTCTTAAAATAAGATTTAACGATATCTATTTTTAAAATATTAAGACTTTTGATATTTATTTAGTGTATATTGACTTTTAAATTTTAAAGATATTGTGATTTAAGACTTTGAAGGTTAGTTGATATATTTGTACTCTTAAATTTTTAAGACATTAAGATTTTGATGTTTTTTTGTTATAATGTGCAAATATTAATAGTTTAAGTCTTTGATATTTTATTTAAAATGTTTGATGTTGTTTATAAGTATATTTTATTTTTTAAAATATATTTTTCATTTTCATGATTCCATAATTTAAGAAGATGAAGAAAAAAACTTCAATTTGACTGCTTATTTTTTAAAATTCCCAATTTTCATCGGCTCAGCAAATTGGCCTTTTTATCCATAGGCTAAAAAATTTAGACTACTTCTCCAGTCTATTCAAAATGCGATTTTAAAGGATTAGGTGTTGAACGAGTTAGGGATATACCAGCCCTTAGTTCTAATTACCATGCTACCTTAAGTTCTAAGTTTTTTTTTCTCCCTCTCCAAATATACCTTCCCCTGCACCAGATTTGTCATTTCCAGTATTCATCTCATCCCCTTCAGTTCACCAAACAAGAGTGTCATCAGAAGCCGAAACTACTACCACCGCTGGTGCATTCGCCATGTTGTCCCGGAGAACTTGGCCCTTTATTTTAGGTTACACTTGTGCATCTCCATTCTCAACAATTAATGTTTCGGGGGTTAAGAAATTAATAAGACCAATTTATAGGAAATGGATGTTGTGGGATTGGATACTATGGATGAGCACAAACGGAAAGAAGCCAAATAACAAAGAGAGGGAACACAACGAAGAGAGAGAACAGGGAAAGCGCGAGGAGGAGAGAGAGAAAAAT